CGACGCTCTCCGCCCCGACGTGGCGGCACTGGCCAATCGGGAGAGGCGCTGTGTGCGCGTGGGCGGGACGCAGTGCGGGTTTAGGCTCCTCCTGCCGGGCTCGAGCTCACCTGCGCCTCCTACTGGCGACCTTTGCCTGCGCTACGCTCGTCCAGTCCCGCGCCGTCGTACTGGACCACCCCTTGTTCCAGGTCCCCCACCCGGAGGACCCCCAAGCCGTGTCCCCTCTGCCCTCTGCTTCCCGCGCCCCTGCCGGTGCTATCCCCACCCCTCCCCGCACATTTGCCGCGGGCCGCCCAAGGCCACCCAGCGGCGTGTTTCGAGGGCAGGGGCCTGCTTCTGGGACCGTCTGGTTTTGGGGCCCTTGCGTGGGAGGGGTTCTACCCCATGAGGTAGTCGTTCTCTTCCTGATTTCCAGCTCCATTGCCCTGTAAGGTTTGGTAGCAAGACAAGGACAGAGCCAGGTCCTCCCGTTTTCTGCACTCACCGAGCCCTGACTGGGCAGGCCGTGGGGTCATCTTGGCTTAAGGGACTTTGTGAGAGTGTTGGTGGGAGTGCAGACTGGTGTAGCCACTGCGGAAATCAGTATGCAGATACCTCAGACAGCTAGGATTAGAGGTCCCATCTGACCCAGGAATTCCTCTGCTGGGTATCCTCCCAAAAGAATTAAAAGAAACACACCACAGCGATATATGCTCACTTATGTTTATAGCGGCACAGTTTGTGATAGCTAAAGCTTGGAAACAGCCCAATTGTCCTTCAACTGGAGACTGCATAAAGATGTGGTTTTTCTATAAAATGGAGTACTACTCAGCCATAAAGAATGAGAAACGAGAGACATTTATAGCTAACTAGATGCACATTGAGGCCATACTCAAATGAAATTAGTAAGACAAATGTATACTCAATAGCCTCTCTGGTGTGAAAAACTAAACGTGTAAATTAGGATCAAAATGTATAATTGATATTGTGTGACAGAAAAGGTTTAAAAGAGTAGAGGAAGTGGAAGGGGTAGGGGGAAGGTAAAAAGGGAAATGGAAAAATATGTAAAAAGGAAAAGCATGGAAATAAAGTCTTTGTGAACAGGGATGGGTGGAGTGGGTGAAGGGAGGGCTGGGGAATGGGGAAAAATGAGAACCAAGACCTGCCATGTAAAGGTACAAGATCCCAACGATGAATGTAACTGGGGATTGTATACCTAAAATGTACCAATAAACGTCATTAAGATAAAAAAAAGAATGACTTTGTCTGTTAGGGTGGCATCACTGTTGGCCGCAGGGCCTCCCCGACCTGGGCTGTGGGGCTGACAAACAAGCCGGAAGCTTCTTGGGAAGAGCAGGGCCTGGGCTAGAAGGCGAGGCCAGATGCTGGGCCAGAGATGGACACCCCAGGAAAGACGTCAGCCGGGGAGGTGGAAGCTGGAGGCGGGGCTCTGCTCTGCACAACAAGGGGAGGAAAGCGGGGCTGAACAGACGAATAGGCTTTCACAGGGAGTTACTGTGGTTAGCAGAGCTGGGGTAGAAGAGCAGACCAGGGCCACCTGCACTGTCCACCCATGTGTCCCTCTCACCACCTGTCTGCCTGTCTACCTGTCTGTTCACCCATCCTGATATGTGGGGGCAGCCCTGTGATGACCGACCCTGGGGCAGGGGCTAAGATCGACCTGGAAAGGCAGCTCTCCACTTAGCAGTCTGCTGGACGCTTGCAAAGTCGTCCGCACTTGAGAAACTCGTTTGCTCCCCTGCCCACTTCCGGACCTTCTGCTGCAGCCTTCAGCAGCTGCTCACCTGGTCCTCCTTGGTTTTCCAACGCTCACGCCTGCGGCCGCTGAGCAGGCAGAAAATGAGTCTATCTGTAGTCCCAGGGAACCCCGCCTGCTCCTCTGCCCCGTGAGTGCTACACGTACAGGGAGCGTGACTTGAGTGTGGAACGCACAGAGCTCTTCCCCGTGGCTGGCCTCACATGCTTCTAAGAGCTGCAGTCTCGCCCTGACCCCGTGTGGTCCTCTGTGGGACTCACTCACTGCTGTCTAGCAGTGTACATGTAAATCTTTTGTCTTCCTGCATTCTTTGTACCTCGGCAGATTCTCCTGCTTGCAGTTCCTGCGTTCCCACGCCGCTCTGAGCCTGCAAGGCAGCAATAGTGAGTCTGTGGTTCCTCTCAACCGTCTCTACCTCCTTCCTCCTCAGCACCTGGCTCAGGCAGCAGACGTCCATGCTACCGTCCTCCCTCCTTTTCTCCTGGTCCTGGGGAGACGAAGCCAGGGAGTGCTAAGCTACGTCCCCAGCCCCTCTCACTTCTTTATTTGGAGACAGAGTCTTGCAGAGTTACCCAGGCTGGGCTTACACTCGAAGTCCTCCTGTCTCAGCCTTCTGGGTGGCTGGGATTAGAGATGTGCCCCACCATGCCAGGCTGTGTGACCTCTTTCTAGGTGACAAATGGGGCTCCAGGAGGATGCAGATCTGATTTCATTACTTCCTTTGGGCCCTCTGTGGCTCCCAGTGGCCTGAGCACACAGACATCTTGCCCTGCTCTGTCTCCTCCCAGGCTGTGGTGCTCGAGGACCTCAGGTCTCTTTCACTTTGATACTTGGTAGGACAGATCCACAGACCCTTATCTGCCGTTCCAAAATAAAAAGAGCTCTGACAACAGGAAATATATTTTTTTCTTACTGTAAATTTGATGCCAAAATTGAATTTGCTGCAAAAATTTTCCTGACCCAAGGTATCGGAAACATTACAGTGTTCCAGCAGTGGTCCCTCTGCTGGTCACTGGGGCGTGTGTGCGTGTGTGTGTGTGTGTGTGTGTGTGTGTGTGTGTGTGTGGTACTAAGGATTGAATCCAAGGGCTACTGAGCTACCTCTCTCGCTTTCTTTACTTTTTCTTCTTTTGAGATGGGCTCTTGCTAAGTTCGAACCTGGAGATCATCCCGCGTCAGCCCCCGGAGTCGTGTGGACATCCAGCTAGTGTGTTTCAACTTTAAAAGTTGTCCTTTTGTGACCTTTGCTTTACTTGCGCTGTGAAGACAGGAAAAGAGTTCAGGGCTTCCCGACTTTCCTGTGGAAACTCTGTCGGTGCCGAAAACCTCAGCTGAGTGGGGAGGCCCCTGTAACTAGGAGACCAGAGACAGGCAGGTGAGCTTCTGCGGCAATGGCGGTGACCAGGAGCCATGAGAAAATAGAAACAGTGCACGTGTGGGGCGATCCACTCCAGGAACGGATTGAGAGGCGTTGGCAGGGAAGGCGCCAGCGTGCGCCAGGGAGGGGACTGTTGGTCGCGGAACAAGCTGGAGCGTAGTAAGAGGAACTGAACTTTAAAGGTGAGTATGAATATTCAAGCGCCGAGGTGTAAGGCAACAGCGCACGGATGACAAGCTCGATCAGGAAACAGGTGGCAGGACGCGGATGGAGGCTGAGGTCCCGTCTGGTGAAGCTGGTGAGGACTGCAGCGGGAGGGGTCCGGGACGGACTGGGCGCCAGGTCTGGGTGGTGCTGGCAGGTTGGAAGAAGCCACAGGCCCGTGTCCTTCCCAGCTATGTAAATGAGCACATAAGGAACCTGAGAAACGGTTTCTGCCTGGCAGTAATCATCCCCTGCGCGGGTGCCAGGATTTCCCGGCAGACGCGCAGACCTGGGAGAGAAATGAGCAGATTGACATTTCTGCCTCTGCTCCGTGCCTTCCTGGATGGCTTCTGAATAGTCATGTTTCTGACATTTACTTTTCTCCACCGGTGAAAGGAGTTTGGTGCCCCACGAAGCTGAAATGTGAGTGCATTCTAGGGGGTGGGCTGGGTCTTCTTACTGTTAAATAGGGACCGGGCTTCCTGAACCACTTCAGCCCCAGGGTCCTGGGCAGTGCCCATGGCTCTGCTGACACCTGCGCGGCGTGGACTTTGGCCTAACTCGATTTTTTTTTGAGACAGGGTCTCACCGTGTAACCCAGGCTGGCCTTGAACTTGCAGGGACCGTCCCGCCTCAGCCTCCCAAGTGCTGAGATCATGCGTGCCACCACACCTGGTTCTAGCATGAGTTTTGAACGTGGAGATGAAGTCTGTCTCATGGCAGAAGGAGGCAGTTAACAAATGTCATTATTTACCAAAGACACAAGTCAGTGGCAGGCAAGACCACCGATCTTGGAGGTGCAGCCCCTCCTGCCTTCTCTGTGGATGGAGAGGCACTGAATGGCTCAGTGTGTGTGGGTGGGGGGGCATGGTAGTCCCGGGTGTGACCTGCTCTTGGCTCTCTTTAGGGGCACTTGCCAGAGAGCAGGGACCCTGGAATTACAAGGTGGCTGTCATGGGCCTGGTGCCACCCAGTGCCCGTCTCCGACCCCATAAGCATGGTGTGTGGCTGCTCAGAGCCTGAGCTCGTCCCTCGGACTTGTGGGGTGCGGGCCATTGAGAAAGGGACATTGCTTCTCACATACTAACATTAGAGCCGAAGGGAAGGCCAAATGGAACAGCAAAGCAACTGTGCGAAAGTTAAGGGCATTGATAGCAAAATAAACAAATCCAAAAAACAGAAGACAGAAAATGAGAAAGATCGGTCAGAAATGAAGGCAATGAAATTGAACTCACGGGAGAGAGGACCAACAAGCCAGTAGCTGGCTCTTCAGAATTCTGATAAAGTGAACAGACCCGGAAGATTGATGGGGGAAAACGGTTACACGAGATCGGGGACGCCACCCCAGGGTTGCTCAGGGCGCTCAGCGGAGAGTAAAGAGCGGATTCAGTTCGCGTATACAACCAGCCACCTTTGCCAGGATGCTCGAACACTTACACAAAGCAGTATTTAAAACGTTTTGTTCAACTTGCTGCAACTGACTCAAGAAAGAAAGAAAGAAAAATAGGAAACAGGAAATCTGACAGCCATGAAAAGAAAAACAACATTGGTAGAAACAATTGTGGTCAGGAAGAGAGCAACAGGCCCAGCCTTTGACAGGCCCGTCCAACTAACGGGGAGAATAGTTTCCGTTCTATAGAGACTTTTCCAAAGAAGGGGAAGGTAGAAAACACACCCTGCTGCACGCCAGGAGGCAGCTGGACCATGCCTCAAAGCCAGGTAAGGAAGGAGGAGAAGGCCATCCCAGAAGGGCACCCAGACTCCTTGCTTCACTGAGCAGCCGGAAACCTCCAGTCCCAAACAGGACGGGCTGCGCTGACCTGCCGGGGTTCCCCAGGAGCCGGGCAGAGTCAGGACATGGGGACTCTGAGAGGCAGTCTGTAAGGGTTTGCCTCCCTCTCTGCTGCCTGCTCTTTCTGGAAGCACCTACACCCAGGCCCCCGGCTCCTGATTTAGACCACCTGGGCTGAGGCGAGGACTAAGCTGGAGAGATTCCAGGTAAGTCAGTTCTGCCTGGACCTCACGCAATGGTTCACCTCGTGCACTGTTAGCAGATGGAGAGAGGAGCTCGCTCAACCTTTTCAGTAGTTCAGGAGGAGTGTTCGGACAGGGCATCTAATATCAGAGCAGAGTGGATTTGGGGGACAGGGTCTTAATTCTAACAAATCAATTGGTTCCACCCACTTTTTTAAAAGACAGGGTCTCACTATGTAGTCCAGGCCTTGACCTCAGTGTGTAGCCCAGAAGAGCTTCGATTTCTCAGCAATCCTCCTGCCTCAGCCTAATCCTGAGTACTGTGATTACAGGCGTGTGCCGCCATGCCTGGACCGTGCCCAGCTAATCAGTTAGTAAAGAACTTTTCTTTTTTTGGTTTTTGGAGACAGGGTCTCCCTCTGTAGCCCAGGCTGGCCTCCGGCTCGCCATGATCCCCACCCCCGTCCCGCCCAGGGCTTGGAATAACAGGCTTGAGGCACCAAGTTCAGGGGGAAAGGAACAGAGTTGAAATAAAATCATGTCTATTTGGTAAAGGAGTAGGTTTTGGGTAATGTCAAAAAGTTCTCCTCCTCCTTCGTCGCCTGCGTCTCGGAGCTCCTGCTTCCGTGAGGAACCGTGAGCACTTTTAAGAGGGTATCTGAAGGACACAGGGCCACGGCACGGTGTCTGGGCCCTGGTTTAAATTACTGCAGCGAGGAAACACGGAGACAAGCAGTGCACAGGAAAAGATCACTGCAACTGCTGAATCCGGCTGAGGCCCCACAGCTATTCATCGGATCATATTTTCTACCTTTAAGACTGTGAACACTTTTACACTTGATCTTGGTCCAAAGCGATGAGACGGTGAACATTTTCTTTGTAATGAGAATAAACTCAGTGAGACAGAACTTTATTTACTTCCTGGCAGGAATGCTCCATGACCAAGTGCGGCCAGCGCGGGAGGGCGGGAACTGGGTGCCGCCCGGCTGTGACCTTGGGGTGTGCACAGGGAGCAGAGACCCCTCTGATTCCTGCAGGTGACTGGAACCCTCACTCTGTGGGGTCCTGGCCGGCGTGAGGCCCGGGGCTTTGTCCTGTAGGGGCGCGAGGGGACCCGGCCCCTTCCTTCAGGACCTGAGGTGGCTGCCAGCCCTGGCCCCGCTGACCCGCTGACCGAGAGGCCAGCCGGGCTTAGTGGACGCATTCCTGTGGCCCTGCACAATGCCCGTCACCCGCCTCGGGGGCCCTGGAGTGGAAAATCGGGCGCTGGGCTTTGTCGGGGAGGCAGACTACTGGCGCCCTGGGAATCCTCTGCGTGGCCGGTGTCACCTTTGGGAGGCTGGGGCACGCTGGGCACATCGGGGATGGAATATGCTGAGGACAGGGGAAAGCCGGGGACGGAGAGGGACCCGGGAGCCGTGTGTCCCCCATCCCACAACAGAGACAGCAGAGACACACGCACAGCACTCGGCGGACTGCACTGACCCCACGGCGGCTCTGTCCCCCAGCGCCGTCCTGCAGGGTCGTTATTTTCAGTGTGATCGTGCAGTTAGGGTTTTCTCGATGCCTCCTGTAAAACAATGAACAATCAGAAGAAGCTGTGGCCAGGCACCGCCTTTCCTCCCTTGGGCGGCAGGCTGTTCCCGCCCCAGCGGGTGCCCCAGTCGTGGACAGCACTGGACGCTGTAGTCTCCGCCGTCACGGTGGCAGGAAGCTGTGCTGTCTGTCGTGAGGCAGCACCAACTTCCTTTTCCTTCCTGATGGCTGCACAGTTTCCCCCCACTAGAGAGTCTCAGCAATTCCCGGATACTATTTTGTTCTTTCCTTGTTCAGCAAGAAATTCCAACCTTTTCATTGCAAGTAAGCACTTCCTGGCTTCTCTGGGGCGTCCTGCCACTCTCTAGCTTTGAGGCTGTTATTACCCAGCGAGTGTCACTGGAGCGCAGCCCTGTGAGCTGCTCACCGGTGGCTGCTAAGTGACTAAGGGACAGGGAGAGGACACAGCGTGGACCCAGGAGTGATTTGTATCCCAGCTGGGATGAAGGGGAGCGTGCTTCACAAGAGCATTTAAAATCAGATGAATTTGCTGGGCGTGTTGCGCATGCCTGTAATCCCAGCGTGTGGGAGGCTGAGGCAGGAGGATCCCAGCAAGTTCAAAGCCCTCTTGGACTCTACAGTGAGTTCAAGGGCAGCCTGAACCACAGAGCGACACTCTGTCTCAAAAAACCAACAAAACCAAAACAAAATAAAACGAAAAACCAAAATAAGAAAAAATAAAATATTTCTGGAAGTTTTCATCACATCTTTGGACCATGGTTCATGACAAGTAACTAAAACTGCAGAAGACAAAACCCCAGATAAATGTGGGAGTGCTGCTGTATGACCGGTAGGCTGGGTTAACATTTCTTGTTCAGAAAGAAAAAGTGCAGAGCCAGCGGTGGTGGCAAGTGCCTGTAATCCCAGCATGTGGGAGGCTGACGCAGGGGGATCCCCATGAGTTTGAGGCCAGCCTGCATTACATACTAAGACTTTGTCTCAAAAAATAAAAAATCAAACAAAACAGACAAAAAACACAAAAAAGTGAAACTTGCTGCCAGCATTTGCTCAATTTTCCACAATAGAAAATTGCTGTATTTTGTAACTGGAAACATATGACTAAAAAAAAGAACGCAGGGCCACGGATGTAGCTCAGTGGTTCCACTGACTGCCTCGCAAGCACAAGGGCTGGAGTAAAAGAGAGAGAGGGAGCACGCTAGGAGTAGAATCATGTCTAGTTTTCAAAACTACTGATAAACCAGGGGATGCAAGTGTAATACGAGTGAGCTGTTTGGGGGGAACTTGGAGGACAGGGTTAGGAGCATAACCTGCGTGTGCTGCTGGTGAGTATTCTCGGGGCCAACAGGGAGTGCACTGAGCGCCGAAAGCCCTCATCAGCTTCCGTAGATGAGTGGGGAGCGGTGAAGACCCTTTCTCCTGAGCCCGGCAGGGTTGAGGAAGGTGGTTCTTACAGCTTTCGCTCTCCCATGGTCCCCCTGCCTTTTTTTTTTTTCGGATTCAACCGAGGGCCTTCACACTGAGCTACATTCCCAGCCCTTTGTTATTTTTTCTTTTGAGACAGGCTGGACTTGAACTTGCGATCCTCCTGCCTCAGCCTCCCAAGCGGCTGCATGACAGTTAGACAGGTCTCATGCGGGCCGCAGAAGGGTGGCTGGAGGCAAGCGCAGCTTTACTGAGCCAACATAGATGGAAAGTCCGGAGTCTTTAGATGGAGATGCATGGTACAAGATGGTGCACTAAAGCAGGGGGAGGAAAGCCTTAGGCTGCAAGCCCGCAGGGACCTTGCCTCGTACCCACCCAGCGGTTCAGTTTTCAGTGTCCACTAAGGCCGTGTTCGTGGCCATGTTACAGAATGTGCCCAACTCAATAATGGGCCGTGTTATTTAGGTGGTGTTCTCTAGAATTCAGTCTGGGCAAAGGAGGTGTGTTCTTCATGCTAATGTCATTCAGACTGACAGAGTGGGGGATCATGGGAAGTACCCCGACTTCAGTTGGCTTTATTTTCTGGCTTTTTGAGACAGGGTCTCGCTATGCACTTCAGGCTGACCTCGAACTCACTGTAGCCCAGAATAGCCTCATACTCACGGCAAGTCTCCTGACTCCACCTCTTGAGTGCTGGGCTTACAGTGCCAGCGTGCTCTGCCTAGTTTGTTTGTCAACTCTATAAAAGCGGGGACTTTGCCTGCAAGTGTGTTCAGGCAGACAGGGTCCAAGGAGTGCGGCCCTGCGTGACAGCGCACATCTGTGATCCCGGCACTTGGAGGCAGAGGCAGGAGGATCGCGAGTTCGACCAAACAAACAAAGTGTCACTGACCCTAAGGTAGAAAGGTAAACCTGGGTTATCCAGGTGGCCCAGCACAGTCATGGGGTCAGTGTAAGGGGCAGGGGAGTGACGGAGGGTGTGGAGTAAGAAAGACTCCAGGGCCAGTCCTGTTTTAGGACAGAGACAGGGCCAGGAACCACAGCGGAGCCCAGGGAACCAACCACCTGTCCCTGGCTCACCCAGGCACAGCACCTTGGTTTGGTTCCCCGGGACACCCATCAGACTCAGGGCTTTGAGGTAACACTTCTCTGCAGGGGCCTGGCAGACTCACATCCGGGCCTGTCTGCCCCTCAGCTGGGTGACTGACCCTCCGCAGGGCCATGTGGGGCGGTTGGGCGGCTCCCCATGTGCCGAATGCAGACAGAGTTTCACAGCCTGGGCGGCTGGGACAATCACACAGTGAGGCAGGGTGAAACTATCCCGAAGGGACACAGTACATCCACGTGCACAAAGCCAGGCTTCCCATGGGGCTCCGTGGTTGGACACCTGCTCGCCCTGGGACAGCCCTCCCTGCACGCACCCAGGCCGGTGGGAGGGAGCCCCTCCCAGGTCTGTAAAAGGGCCACGTTGGGGTTTGCTTCCTGAGGTGGCCCTGAGGAACCCTGGGGCAGCAGTCTGCCAATGTTGGAGGGAGCCTGGCCCGGAGTGGGAGAGGCAGCTGCTGCCCCAAAGCATTTTCTCCTTGTACCCTAACAAGTCGCTGCCTGACACTGAGAAACACCTCCTCAGAAACCGTAAAGAGCACAAGCTCCACCTCCAGCTTGCCTTAGAGTCCCTTTATCCCTTGGCCAGTGCCACACACGTAGTTGGTGCTCAAAAATGCAGGGCTGGGGCCAAGATTTAGTGCTGGGCATCGTGGGTGAGGAGGCGCTGCATGGGGAGCACCCCCAAATCCCACTTTGAGCACAGTTCCAGTCCAGATGTGTCGGGTACAGTCCTCCTCACAGATGAGTCTTATTCCGAGTCTGAGGCCGGTGAGGGACTGGCAGATCCTTCTGTGCTCTCAGGCACATATGCATCCCGCCCTGTGACCTGGGGCTGCTGGGTGAGGAACCAGGAGGCCCAGAGAGGGACAAGTGACTTCTTATGGCCTGGGTCCTGCAGGCCAAAACCTACCAGCAGGCTGTGGGGATGTGCAGCAGTGTAACTCTGCCCACAGTGGCGTGGGAGGCTGAGGCAGGAGGGTGGGAAGTTGAGCCCAGCCGGGCCTTGTTGCTGACTGGACCCTGTGGACCAAGGACATGGATGAATCAGACACCCAGCAAGAGGAGCCGGGTCAGCGAGTGTGGCGTGGTCATGAGTGGAGCCCAAGGCATGGGACAGCGTCCCAGGGAGAGTGCACAGAAGAAGCCGGGAATGTGGGCCTCCTACTCTCACAGAGCCCAGTCGGGCCCCTTCCGGAAGCACACAGACCCCGGACAAGCACGAGAAAGTGGGGATTGTGCTGGCATCCTGAGCCCCTGTTAGCTTTCATGTCATGTCTTCCTTGAGATTTTTGTAAGTATGCGTAATCATCACGGTCAATAAAAAGTTTTGTTTTATTTTTGCAGGGTCTCACTATATAGTCCAGGCTGGCCCCGACCTTGCTACGTACTCCAGGTTGTCCTTAAACTCATGGTGATCCTCCTGCCTCGGCCTCCTGAGTGCTGAGGTTACAGGCGTGCACCACCACGCCCAGCCTGCAATTCTGCTTTTGAGAGACGGTGTCCTCTCATCCAGCAGCTGTGAGACTCGGGGACTAACTAACTTCAGTGCCTCAGTTTCCCCATCTGGGAAGCAGGGCTACAAGTGCGCCGTCCACAGGGGCAGTGGCCGTGAGGACCACTCGGGACAAAGTGAGCAGGACCGTGGCCCCCGGTGGTGGGTGTGGGGGCAGAGCTCCTTGGGGACCTCTGTCCCCGCGCAGCTGCAGGCTGGGGGAGGCGGGTGTGCGGCCCGGCGGCTCTGCTGACAGCGCAGCCTCCTTCCTGAGCTCAGGCATTTTGGAGAAATCCCTTAATCCCTCCATTCTCTCCGGTCGGATATAGGGAGGGCCGGCTCCCCGGCTGAGCACTGTGCTGCCTGAGGCCCCTGCCCGACCGACAGACGCGTCGCCTGCCTCCGTTCCCCACAGCCGAAGTGGACATGGACGTGACTATCCAACACCCCTGGTTCAAGCGCGCGCTGGGGCCCTTCTACCCCAGCCGGCTGTTTGACCAGTTCTTCGGGGAGGGCCTCTTCGAGTACGACCTGCCGCCCTTCCTGTCCACCATCAGCCCCTGCTATCGCCAGTCTCTCTTCCGTACCGTGCCGGACTCTGGCATCTCTGAGGTAAGGGCCTGGCTGGTAGGGAGAGGACAGCTAGGGATGCCCGATGGGCCGCCAACGTCCCCGCACTTGTGTCCAGCTCCGCCATGCTGGCGACCTTGTAGAGGCCAGGCGGGAGCCTCTGCACCTCTGGGAGGGCTTGGAGGAGATGCTGGCCCGTGCCCGACCGCTGTCTTTTCTCCATCAGCTCATGACCCAAATGTGGTTTGTAATGCACCAACCACATGCTGGAAACCCCAAGAACAACCCCGCCAAGGCAAGTGGATGGCACAGGCGAGCGCCCGGGCTCCCGCATCCCCCTGTGGGTGCCGGGGTGGGGGGATAGCTGCTCCGAGACCAGACACTAGAGGCTTCCTGTCCACACAGCCAGCCGCACTGTGGAGGCCGGGACCCTGCCCAGCTTCCTGGGTGCCCAGCCAAGGACGAGAAGTGGCCACGGGGCACTTCCCTCCCAGCCCTGAGCTGTGGCAGCCCAGTGTCACCACTGTCTGAAGGCAGGGGCTCCCTGCAACAGGGACTTTGTGTCCAGGGAGGAAGGTGCTGGGGGAGGCCGTTGAGCTCTGAGGGAGCAGAGGGTGCCGGGCTCTGTGGTCTGGGAGCTGGCCTCACACCATGGACACCGGCTATGCAGCTGCTGATGAGACCCAGCAGGGGCAGCAGCTCATCCCATGCTCAGCGCCCCTGCCAGCTGTCAGGGAGCCAAGAGCCCATAAGGGACCCCTGTGATACCCAAATCACTGCCAACCATAAGGAAGCACCCCATCCGTGGGCAGGCAGCCAGCCCGGGAAATCCACCAGCTCAGCCTGACCAGTCAACAAGCCCATGTACAACCAGCCATCCAACCTCTAGCCTGATTAGCAGCCAACAGGCCGCAGCCAGCCCAACGCCAGCCAGCCAGCCCGATGCCAGCCAGCCAGAGTGCAGCCCGGTGCCACCAGGCTGAGGCCG